ATGCGATAAAATGTCATACTTATATTTATATAATTATGACATTTCACTTTAAAAGTAAGTATATATGATGAAAATACATACGAATATTTGACACTTAATTTTGGTTAACAATAGCCCTATTGTTTAGAATATTATTATTGTACATTTTTATATATACAAAATTTGAAGTTTATGAAAATATAATATGAGTCATCTTGAGGTTTTATTGTGATTGTTTCGTAGAAACTCTAAAAGTCGAAACAATATAAAAGCCAAAAGATATTACAAATATCTATGGTGCCCACAAATCAAAAATTCTACGGAGTTTCGGATATTTTTTTTTATGGAGTTATCCTCACTTAATGAATTGACACATGTCCAAAATATATTTACTGTAAGACACGTGTCAATATACTGTTTGAGGTTAACTGTGGATGACTCCATAACTCGAGTCATCTGATGACTCCACAGCGAGAGTAGCCCACAAATTTTCCTAATCATATATAATCATCAAATTACTATTTACAGATCACACTCAAAATCCAGCCTTCTTCTTCTTCTCTCTTGTTTTAGTTTAGTCCCAAAAAGAAAAGGTAAATTAAACCTTTTTGACACAAATGGTACTGAACTTTGACATTATATTAAAATGCTAAAACTTTGTGAAAAATGTATTAAAAAACAGTGATAAAATTATGTTGTAAATAATTAAATATTAAATACCACACCACGCTAAAGTAATAAATAAATAAATAAATAAATGGCCACCTATTTTCCCCCTTTTTTTTGTTCCCATCTGCTGATAACACGAAGACCAACTACTGGTGGGGCCCACTGGGTCATAATTTGGGTGGCCCATGTCAGCATCGGGCCCAAAAGGAAAAGGGATCCAAACGTTTGAAATTTTTTTTTTTGTACATGGACCTTCCGATTTCCGGATTCACAGGGGAACCGACTAATCTGGAATAGAACCGGGTAGAATCACAAGGGCGACAAAGCTCTCCATCAAGAGTTTTAACACTGCTGAATTTCTAAGGCTCGAATACGAAACCACTAGTTAAGCTGAAAGAGACCCAGACAATCTCATCCAAGCGCTCTTGGTCCAATCGTTAAACTTTGAGTTTGAGTATGACTAGTGACCCGAGCCTGGCCCACATGCCTATATTATATTACCTCCTCGACCCGTTTGGCGCCTTCTTTGCACAATCTCAGCCGTCAGATCCATTCCTATCTCGATTTTCAACCGTTAGATTTTGTCAGAAAGTAACTACTAACTACGCCTCGCACACTCTCACACACATATTCTCTCTCTATCGCCAATCGCCATCATTAATGTCATTTAGCTCTCGTACAGTCACACTCCGTGCAGTGGCTACAATTTCTTCGCGGGATCTTCTACTTTTTCCCTTTTATCTCTCTCTGCGTGTACGCACAGCTTTTTGCGCTTGTTTGTCTTCATATTCTTTATCTGCAGGACAAGAGCTATTTGTTCTGCAATTTTTATTAAATCCCAAGAAGATTTCTTACTGCAGCTCCGTGCTTTGCGCTCAGTGTAAGTTGATTTTGCTTTTCTTTACTTCAATTTTGTTTGCAGTTATGTCTTTTTTGGGTTTGTGGGTTTTGCTGCATTTGCTCGTGTGTCATTTTCATGGAGTTTGTTCTTTATGCTTAATAATTACTCAACCCATTAAGTGCAAATCTGGGGACCATCTTTTTTGAGCTCTCGAGCTTTGAAATGATTGGATCTGTAAATTTTTCTTGGATTCCTTCCCATTTAAGCTGCGCCCACTTTCTGTAAAGAAGCCATTTTC